TTATAAATATATTTACATATGTACATGCCTGTATTTAGACCTCTATAAATGTCCTTTGCCTCCTAGTTCTTTCCTGTATTTCTTTTTACTTTCCTTAGAACTCTTGTAACATTCCATACATTAGTTGTTTCAAGCATATTTGTATATATGTTGCCATCATCACTTTCTAAACATTTACTTTCTATTTGAGCCCTTGGTATCAGCTCCTTTTTTTCCCAACCCCCCTCCCATCATGAGCAAGAAGCATTTTTAATTTCTGGTGACCATATGTACGTATAGGAGGGCGTTTTGGAAACAGCCTTAAAATTTGATGAGTAATATTTTTCCACCTGAACAAAATGACTTCAGTGTATTGCTAAGGATCAAAAAGTTGCAAAAGTGGAGACCAGTGGTTGATGCTGTGTTGGAGAGAGGGGAGAAGCTCAGATTGCCGCTTTCCTGATTGAGCTTCCTATCAGCTATGAGCTCTTGAAAGGTTCTACCTCCGTGCCATCTGGCTTCATACTGTCATAACTGAATGTTGCTTACACTCTTTCTGCTCTCTCTGTGCCACAAAGCTCCCTCTATGTAACGTGTCCAACCTCTAGGATGCAAACAACAAAGGGAAACTATATTTATGGTGACAGATAGTTCAGATCAAAAAATAAAGCAGAGGTGCTTACTAGGCAATGTTGAGAGGAGTGGGCATTTAGTGTGCATGGAATGTGTATGTAGTCATAGTGATGCTGTAGGACAGAATAGAACTGCCTCATAGGCTTTCCAAGGCTGTGAATCATTACAGAACAGACTGCTTCATCTTTCTCCCTTGCAGTAGCTAGTGGGTTCAAACCATTGGCCTGTCCATGAGCTACCAAATGCTTAACTCACTGTGGCACCAGAACTCTTCATTTTCTGCTAGATACAGTTCAATATGATAGTGTCAAGTATGAATTCAGGTGATTAAGTGGGCTTGATCTCTACCACCTTAATGCAAGGATTTGCGACTAATGTTGATTCCAGCACAATATTAAAAATCTCTTCGAATTTGTGTTTTACCCCAAAGAGGTATTGTGGGTCAGACACTGACTTTGCTTTTCTTTTTTAAAATCATTTTATTGGGGGCTCATACAGCTCTTACTGCAATACATACATACATACATACATTGTATCAAGCACATTTGTACATTTGTTGACATCATCATTTTCAAAACATTTTCTTTCTACTTGAGCCCTTGGTTTCAGCTCCTCACCAACCCCCCTCCCCACGCATCTTTGATAATTTATAAATTATTTTTATTTTTTCACGTCTTACACTGTCTGATGTTTCCCTTCACCCACTTTTCTGTTGTCTGACACCCAGGGAGGGGGTTATATGTAGATCATTGTGATCTGTTCCCCCTTGCTCCCCCCACCCTCCCTTTCCCCTTCCCCTCCTGGTATGGCTACTCAATGTTGTTCTGAGGAGTTTATCTGTCCTGAATTCCCTGTGTTTCTAGCTCTTATCTGTACCTGTGCACATGCTCTGGTCTAGCCAGATTTGTAAGGTAGAATTGGGATCATGATAGTGGGGGGCAGGAAGCATTAAAGAACTAGAGTAAAGTTGTGTTTCAACGGTGCTATATTGCACCCCGACTGGCTCATCTCTTCCTTGTGACCCTTCTGTAAGGGGATGTCCAGTTGTCTACAGATGGGCTTTGGGTCTCTACTCTGCACTCCCCCTCATTCACATCGATAAGAGTTTTTGTTCTGGGTCTGATGCCTGATACCTGATCCCATCGACACCTCCTGATTCACACAGGCTGGTGTGCTTCTTCCATGTGGACTTTGTTGCTTCTCAGCCAGATGGCCCAAACACTGACTTTCCAACGCCATTGGCAAGAAAACTTAAAACGAAGTGAAAAAATGTTATATGTATTGGCTCTTCTTCATCAGCCCTTCATTGACTCTGCTCACCAGGCTGCTCACCTGAGAGAGATGCTGTGTGGAGGAAGAACTATATTTGAAATCAAACCTAGGGATTAACTGCCATTTATTGGTTTAAGTTGCTTAAATTTCTGAGCTGCTTTGGGGATGGGACTTAGAGAGGTAAATTTGTATCCTTCTGTTCCTCAGGAAGTACCTTTATATATAAATATAACCAGCTTTAAAGAGTTCGTCCTGATTATGAGTAAGAGTGAACTGCTTTATGACAGCTGTGGGAAGAGGATTAACTTAGTTAAAATAGGAATACAGGGAGGGTAGAGGGACAGTGGGTAGGAAAGAGGGAACCAATTACAAGGAACTATATGTGACCTCCTCCCTGGGGGACGGACAACCGAAAAGTGGGTGAAGGGAGACGTCGGACAGGGCAAGATATGACAAAATACCAATTTATAAACTATCAAGGGCACATGAGGCGGGGGGAGCGGGGAGGGAGGGGAAAAATGAGGACCTAATGTTGAGGGCTTGAGTGGAGAGAAAATGTTTTGAGAATGATGTACAAATGCGCTTTACACAATTGATGTGTGTATGGATTGTGATAACAGTTGTATGAGCCCATAATAAAATGTTTAAAAAAAATATGTATTATTAATTTTAATGTATTTTGAAATTATTTCATATCTACAGAAGAGTTGTAAGAATAATACAAAGAACTCATGTTTACCCTTCACCCAGACTTCATGGACCCCCAGGTGTTAGCGTTTTACCACTTGCTTATCATTCAACAGGCGATGGTTAAACAAGCAATCAAGTGTTTACAGCACCTTACTAACATATAGGAATATCAGGTATAGAAAGAAAAATGAGAATTTAAGGAGGCTAATTTAGTTGTCTGAGATCTCACAGCAGGTGAATGAATGGCAGAGGTGGAATTTACACATCTGCTTTTCACCACATTCCTTTATTAGTAGATCTGGAAACCAGCATTCCAGCTGGCTTTCCTGTGCACTCCAGTGTAACTATTGGCAATTTATTTTGCAACATCTTTCCTGTCAGTTCAAGGAATTCAGTGTCCCTGGCCCTAACTCATCCTCACTGTAAAGATAGCTTATCTTCAATAAAGTATCCGGAGCTTTTTAACTAGACACCCCAAATGCCTAATCTAGTAGTGCTCATTAAGCGGAATTTACTTCAGGCCTAATGAAAGGCTGAAGCTTTTTTGCAGACTTTGCTGCTGAAGTTATTAGTGAGGTTCCATATGAAGGAGATAGTGCTGCCATCAGGATTGGTGCTGCTTTGCAAGGGGATAGACCAGGGGTGCTTTTCCTCTTGGGGAAAAGTATCCAGTGGTGCTGAACTATTTCATGCCCTTAGCAACTTCCTGAGATCCAGATTCGTGACCCCTCTTGCAGGCGGCAGGTCCCTGAACACATTGCTTGCAGGAAACCAGAGAAGATGACAACGGGGTTTGGTCTTTAGACCGTCTCCACGTTTTGGGAGTCCAATTTTTTTCTTCTCTCCTTTGTTTTTGCTCAGAAACACCAGGCCCACTGAGTTTTGATAGACGTAGACATTCTAGAACCTTGAGCAGAAATTGTTTCTTGGTAGCTCATAGGCTAAAGGTAACTGGCAACAGTAGTGCCTTTTTGGTGTTTCTGATGTTTATTTATTTATTGTATCAGTAACCAACTTTTAAAACCAAGAGGCGTTCACCTAAAACGCCAGATACCAGTTTCCAGCTCTGCTTCTTTTTTAAAAAGGAAAGAAATAAGACTGGGCCCAATGTAGCACTTTTAATTAGAACTGGAGTGAAGTAGCCATTGGTTGCTAGCTGTGCCCACCAGCCTGTTTCACATCTTGCTCCTGGAGACATGTATGCATTCAGCTCCAGACTGAGAATTTGAAATTTTGTTTTCAAACCTGGAGAAGTACAATTTAATGAGCTTTCTAGCCCTGGATTATCTTACCACTGCTTACAGAAGCAGAGTCTTGCTTTCTTTTATTCTAGCTGATAAATAAGGTCAGAGAGCTGCACGCATCTTCTTGCAGGTTATCAATCTCCTGTTTTAGTTCATGGCTTCAGTCCCTGCACACAGTGACCACTGCCAGCAGAGGGCACTATCTGCTCACTGAGTCTTCTGTCATTGGCTCAACTGAGCGGCAGCTGTTGGGCATGTGCCTTGGATCTGTGTGAGAGTTTGGGCATGTTCTTTTGGTTCCCATCCCTAGTGCCCACCCCTTAGACCCTGGCCAGGTTATTGTGTCACTAGGGACTCTGTTCAGTAACAGGAAACTGGGGAAAGTTTAATTGTTTTCTCCCTTCTCTTTTTCCCATGCAGCTGAACAAAAGGTTCATCCTCAGTTTTCTCCATGCCCATGGGAAGCTGTTTACCCGGATTGGGTAAGTGTGCAGGATGTTTATTTTATTTTCCTACATTACAAGTCATTTTGGAATTTAATATTGTTAGCAACTAGACTGTGTTTGTAACTGAGGGCACAGGGTGTGAATTCCTACAGGCCTCCACCTTCTCTTCCCTTCATTCTGTCCCACTGGGCTCACGAAGTTTAGGGGATATTACTGTCTTTCTGTCTTCCTCTAACCTTACTAAAACCCCCTTTAAGCCCAGTCTTTTCCTCATTCCCACCCATAGGTTTTCCGTGTTTCTCCTCTCTCTTCCCACGTTAGCGCTCAAGACAGGCATGCTAAATCCCTGGGTGCTGTTGTCAGGGGTTCTCTGATTTTCATTCAAAGAGACAAGTAGGATTTCTTTCTTCCAAGTCCTTCCTGCCCTATACTCTTTCCTTCTGTGCTCAATTTCCTGCACCATCCTTGCAGATCTCAGTCAATACCATGACAGACTCTGTGTGTTTGTGTGTGTGTGTGTGAGAGAGAGAGAGAGAGAGTCAGTCAGTCAGTCAGTCAAAGGGGAGTTCATCTGGGTAAGACCCTGTCACTCACCCTTTAGGAAATAGATGGTGTTTGCCCTCTTGTGGGATGGAACAGGGAGAGGAGACGTGGGCCCACACCAGTTGGTTTTTTATGGATACAGAGAGTGAGACTCTGTGTGTTTGTGTGTGTGTGTGTGAGAGAGAGAGAGAGAGAGTCAGTCAGTCAGTCAGTCACAGGGGAGTTCATCTGGGTAAGACCCTGTCACTCACCCTTTAGGAAATAGATGGTGTTTTGAGTAGTCCTTTGATAGATCAATGTTCCTTACCATGCAAAACTAGTGACCCTAATGCATGATTTAAAATCTCACACCCAAGCAGATTCGTGCTGAGCTCATCTTCAGCATAGAATTTTCCCAGAGTGCAGAGTGGAGACAGAAGGAGAGTAGAGAGAGGAGTAGGGGGCAGTGTTCTCAGACAGCTCTTACACTGGATTTCAGTCTTTTCTGAGTTAGAGGTTTTATGGCGAGCTACCCATTGAGGTGATTTGTTTTGAACTATAAATCCACCAATTAGTGTCACACTTTCCCTTTCACTTTCTGTCATAGCCTTATTTATCTGTGATGCTCTTTAGGGTTCCTAAGTGGGAGTAGAGCTATGTTCATTTCCACGTAGTTTTGTATTTACGTTTTTGGAGATGCTGGAAGGCTTTAATCCTGCCTGAAGAAACACTGCTTCTTGTAAACTAGAAAGGGTGCACATTTTTCCATACTCGCTTATATGTTTGGCTTCAGCCTAAGCATGGATGATAGTAGTGACCATCACAAGGGTAATTTTGATTTTGCAATGACTTGGGGAAATTGGAGTAGTGCGAATACAATAGAATGAACCTCTATTAGTAGAAGTAAGGTGAAGGAAAGTAACTTGGATGCATTATTTGCTTCCCTATCACCTCTCATGGAAGCTCCAGTCTAGCAGGTGTTAAAGCCTGGCACAATAGTAGGTGCTCATTAAATACAAAGGGGCTTCAAAAAAGTGTGTGGAAAAATTCTATTATCTTCCAATGCCATTTTTTCACAAACTTTTTGAACCCCCACACATTTGCTGTATGAATGGGTGAATCATTATAGTAAATGGATAGATTACGTAAGGTCGGAGAAAAGGATCTAGTATTCTAGTAAAGTATCATAGACCCCCAAGCCAGTCATTAGTGAATAACGTAATGCTGCAGTTACAAGGTGGGTAACACGATATCATCTTAGAAAACAACACATCACAGCAGGAAATCGCTATTGTGCTACACTTGAAATAGAACTACTATTGCATATGTTTTCTCTTTTAGTTCTCTTCCCCCCACCCCCATATTTATTTCCCTTATTACCTTTTTACTCAATATTTCCTCTTGGTCTTTTCCCATGCTGGTTCTTTAAATTTTTCTGTAACATGTTATTATAAGTCAGAGTTTCTCAACCTCCAGTGCTGATGACATTTTGTTGTTGGGGTGAGCTTCACTGTCCTTTGCATTGTTAAATGTTTAGCAGCATCCGCCTCTAGATGCCAGTGGGGAATGCTATCCACACCAGCACCTCAACTACCAAGTCTTAACAGTTAGCAATCTCTCCAAATGTTGCTAAATATCCCTTGGGAGACAGAATCGTCCTTGGTGGAGAACCACTGCTTTAGTTATTTCTTAGCTCTATCAGATCTCTTGGGACAAAAATTATAAAGCATGAAACAATATTTAGGATATATTTGTATTAGGTTACATTTTAGTTAGACCTTTATTCTCCCCTTGGCTCCTCCCTCCCTTTAAAATTTACTTAAACATGCCTATTTGGGAGGAAATTTTGGATACATCCATTGCAGTGGTTAACCCACCAGTTGGAAAATGAAATCTGAGAAGACAAAATAATCTTAAAAGTTTAAGATTAAAAAAGTAGGAGGGATTTATTTAGATGGCTAGAGTGCCTTCTGTTTAAGTGTTTTGAAAAAGTCATAACCAAGTAGAGCAATCGTGGCAGCAGAGCAGAGAGCCCCCAAGGGAGTTCAGAGGACAGACTCGGGGGCCAGAGCATGGTACCCCATCGGTCCTGACTGAAGGACAGGCCTAGAGATAAAAAATCAGACCTTGATCTATATACGGGATTTTCGTTCTGCTTAAAATTTTTTTCTTTTAATTAAAAAAAAAGTCATAACCATAGCAAATGTTTTGAGAATGATGAGACAGCAAATGTGCTCGACACAATGGATGGACTGTGATAAGAGTTGTATGAGCCCCCAATAAAATGATTAAGTAAAAGGTCATAACCAGATAGTCATGATTTTTATGGGAAGGTGGGAAGAGCGAACAGGCTTACATTACAGCTGTTAGATGTGAGACAGTGTCACAGAAGGAAGAAATTCTAGGTTTTATTTTTTGGAGGCTATTAAAAAGACAGGTCATGGTTGTCTGAGCTGGTTTACTATAGCCTAGATTACTTTGCAAAATCTCTTCCATTCCTGCATACTTGTGGGGTGCTGGGTGGGGGGGCAACAACAACAGCTTCTGTGAACACCACTGAAACTCATTTTTTATAAAGGTGAAGCTTCACAAGAAACTTCACCTTTATAAAAAATGAGTTAAAGTAGTGTTCACAAGAGGAGAAATCATGGAAGTTCTACTAACTCCAGCCAATTGATGAGTATTCTTCTTAATGTAGTCCTGGAGGCAAAGAGCTGAGTCTCATATTTATTCTGGAAGGAAGAAACAGTAATGTTTCTATCGAGGGGGCAAAAGTATAGAATTCTGTAAATAGACTGGAAATGCCATGAGCCTAAGCCACACACATCATCATGGACGGTTGCCTAATTACCAAGATGTGAAATGTGGGAGGCGTTGAAAACGAATTAGGAGAGAGGAGATTGTAATGGGGAGCAGCTGAAAGCACATCACTGCCCTGCCCGCCTTTTGAGAAAAGCTCTCACTGACTCTGCTCCATCTCTTCGAGCCTCATGTTCCAAGCTGAGTCAGCATATGCTTGAATACCTGCTTACCATGTGAGAGACAAGTCTTACTCCCAGGATCAGTTGAAAAGAGGTTCCAGTCATTAGATGGGTTCAGGTGTTAAAAAGATCCGGTGTTTTACCCTTTATTAGTTGTAAGTCCTGGAGAATGAACAAGTTAGAGTCTCTGTGGGCTTCATTTTCCTTTTCAGTAGTTTAAAGTGGTCATTCCTGAGGTTCATTCAGTCTTTATGCTCTGCAGCACTATTTTTTTCCTTCCATTTCTACCCTGTCACATGACTCAGTTGTTTGCTTGCTTCCTTTTTTTTTGCTCCTAGTTTACTCCTGTCTCACTCAGTTTTTTAAAAAGTAAGAAATTGAGAAAAATGTTAGGGTGCGTGACTTTTATGCAGAGAATGTTGTCTAGCCAAGCTGTGTGTTTCTCAGCATCTAAGGGGTTGGGTCCTGCCTCATTAGTCACTGTCTGAGTCATTCTTGGGTTTAGGTCCCAATGTTGTGTGAAAGATTGGTCTCTTGAAACTGCCATTCAAATGAGATAAAGTGTCTCTAAGATCACTTCACAAGGCAGTCACGTAAGTTAGTGAAACAAATATCCTGAATGTGATTGTATCCTTTGCACTTTTAAAGGATAGAACCCAGTTCTCTGGGACTTCGGCAGAGTGAGGACTCAGGCAGGGGTGCCAAGTGGCTCCTGACAGAGGCTGTTCTGGTGAGAGACACATCAGACCTCTGCACTTACATTGGACAGACTCTTCATTTTGCTTCCAGTCACTGCCCTGGTTAAAGTTATAACGCTTTAATTTTTACTTGCTTGCCTAGTCAGCCTTATTTACATTACTTCAAAGTCTTTTGGAATTTATAGTCTGATATATTTATTTTGGACTGAGAATTTTTTAGAAAACATTTCTATCGTTAATTTAACAGATATTTTAAAATACAAAATTCATAGGTGCATATTATGGGGAAGTTTTCTTTTTTCTTCTTACTATACAGTGCTTGTAAAATATCGAGAAAACTCAGCAAAAATAAAGTAAAAATAATACCCATAATCTCACTGCCCAGAAGGGTAACTACCTTTTGTTAACATTTGGTGTATATTTTGTCAGCCTTTGTTTCTGTGTATCCCCCCAACCACTACCATACATACACTTAAGGTAAATAAGTGTCAAAAGAGATCATTTTAACCTACTTTAGGACTAATGCTTTCATTTAATAGATCTTGAACTTTTTCCTACTTGATTAAAAAACAAAAACAAAAAGCATTCAGTTATATGATTGTACCATCTTACTCATCTATTGTTGAGCATGTTAAGCTGCTTCCAGTGTTTACTCATATAAATAACCATCTTTTTGTGCTTCCTCTCCTCTTCATCTTGGCTGAAACTTTTAACAGTTACTTCATAAGCAATATATAAAATATCCTTATAAAAATTCTGACTTTACATAGAAGACTGTCATTTCATTTAAGTTCTTCCCTAGCTCCTTTATCCTCCAAAGAGATAACATTAGACATTGCTTTCTGTATTCTTCCAGATCTTTTTACTATATTTACATATTTGCATATGTACGAGAGATCTTCAAAAAGTTTGGGAAAATTCTATTATCTTTTCAATTTTGTACTTCCATAAGCTTTTTGAAGCCTCTTCTTTCTATATAAACATATCATTTTATTTTGAGGTTTGTATTTCTGTTTTGCGCATAAGTATTCCACTATTTTCTCCGTTTTTTGTCAAATGTTTTTCTATATAATATGGGGTAGCGCAAAGATTACTTCTGAAAGGAAAAGACACAAAAGCACTTACAGGCAGTTTGAGGCCAAGATCAGACAGCGTTTTGGTTACACAATTGGGAACCAGTAACCTAGTTGTTGAGCTCTGAGGAGGAATTCTTTTATCTGTACGCCCCTCAGCTATTGCCTGACAAAGCATATTTCTCTGAGCTGACCCATCTCCTCTGATAGCTCAGATTTTTTAGTTACTCTAATTTATATTCTACTCATTTGTTTTGTTTTGTTTTAATCATGTTGATGTGGTTGAAAGGCAAGGGAGGTTTGTTTTATTGAACTTTCTTTTTTTTAACGAAAGAAAATGTATCCATTTGGCCTGGTACTTGTTTGAAACTTTAGTCTGACCTAGAGAGTGTTAAGATGGGAAGAGTCTTCCTCAGACCCAGCTTCGAAGCAAGACTATCCCACGTGACACTTCTGTCTTGTTCTGTGCTGGCTCTCTACTGCCTTTCAACACGGAGACACATGGCTCTGAAACTTGCCCGGTGTGGCTGCTTTTCAAGCAGTGAACTCTGCTATTCTCGTAATGAGAAGTGCTAGCCCCCCTCCCCACCTCCGACCAGAAAGAGTGCTGCGCAGTGTCAGGATTTAAAATGAAACCTTTCTTATAGCCCGTGGGGAAAAATGGATCCAGTCCAGCCCCAAACATATTGCTCTCTGCCATTCCCAACCTACGAAGAGCTTTAATGGTTCTGAAACGTTTTAGAGGGAGTGGAGGTGGGGGGGGGTCTGCTTGTGGCTGTTTTTGTTGTTTTTTTAAAAGGCACTTGAAATGGCATTTGGAGAAAAACAAATGCATGGCATGTTTTGTGCCAATGAAAATGAGGACAGCTCAGCAGAGAAGGGATCTGGAATGTAAACTGTAATTGACCCATAGCTGTGGCATGACTTGTGAGCACCAGAGGGTCAGTAATCGAAGTTGCCATCCAAGGGCAAAGAATGAAGATTACCAGGATGCCAGAGCGCTCTGGAGGTTTCTAATCCCCAGGGAAAGGGCCTAGGTGTTGGTGCAACTAGAAGCACCTTTCTCTAGCATTGGAAAGTGTTTTGCATCTTTTGAAAAGGATTCCCTTTCCTGTGGCTTTCCAGAAGCTATTTATTAATCCAGCCGAGAGCTACCCTTTCCTCTTCCCTCTCCTCTCCCCCTCCCCTCTCCTACCGCAAGCTGTTTGTTTGTTTGTGGAGGGGTGGCATGGATAAAAGATGCTTTCTTAGCTGACCACTAATTGTTCAGCATGGCCTGAAGGCTCATGTGCCTGCCTTGTCTATTCTAGCACCAAGTTTGAATTTGCTTTTTATTTCTGAGGGCTTCAGCTGTGGTATGTTCCTATTGCCAAAGGAGCTCCAGGCATGTACCACTGTTTGAGATATAGTGGCCACACTTGGCAAGCACTGGTTTGAATGACCTCTCCTTCGCAGCCCTAGGTCACTGGCTGGATTTCGGCCTCCCAACATTACAGGCTCTTCCTGTACTGGGAGTGGCACTTGGCCAGGGCATTCTATTTCCACTGGCCTGAAAACATACAAACCCTGATGAAGGTCTTGTATGAGCATTGAGGGCAGCAATTCAGGATCCTAATATTGAAAGAGATTATTGGGGCCTGGGACTTAGGAATTCTTCAAGGGGAAATTTGGGGTCCTTAGAGGGGGAGCAATTAGTGAGATAATACCTTAGAAGACAGCAGCAGAACTATGTCTGAAGCCCTTTGTGATCAGTCTTTAGAGCCATCTAGCCATATATAGTTTTCATACCAGAGCGTTTGGGGAATATGTATGTCTCAGAACATCAAGAAAATGTGTCTCCTATTTAGAAAAACGTTTCATAGGGAAAAAAAACAACATTGAGATCAGCTTGAATCCAGCTAATTGCCAAGGGTTAGGAAATAGTCTGCTAAAGCATAAAAACTCGTCAAGTGATTTAAGAACTATGTTGATCCTTGAGCACTTTAGTCCTTTCTCTTTAATTTCTTCAAAATCACAAGAAATCTGTGAAGGTAGCGAGGAAATATTTTAGGTCTTGTGTATTTGCTTTCTGTGTTTGTGTGGTGTGAGCTCCAAGTGCTCTTGGGGAGGGATCTGACTGATGGGTTCTCTGTGTCTGCAGGATGGAGACCTTCCCAGCAGTGACTGAGAAGGTCCTCAAGGAATTCCAGGTGTTACTGCAGCATAGCCCCTCTCCTATTGGAAGTACGCGCATGCTGCAGCTGATAACCATCAATATGTTTGCTGTTCACAACTCCCAGTTGAAAGGTAAGCCGTGTCCAACTTCTATATCTAGACAGAAGTTAATCTAGCTTCTTTCCTATGCTACCACACTCCCATCCACACAGGCAGTCACACCACCCTCCCCACCATTGCCTCTCAGATCTTTTCATTTACTCTGTGAAATCTATGTGACTCTAGTGCTTGGGTGGGATGGAAGGAGGGAATCATGGGTATGGAGCTTAATGTGCAAACTCAGAGATGCTGTTGCACATCTGGTCATGCTAAAGGCAGTGCAGCAGCAAGGCCTCTTGGAGGCTGTAGTCCCATAGCCCCTCCCTAGGGAGAGGCATTGCTGAAATGTTTCATTGCAGAGACCATACGCTTGGCAGGGATTGGGAATAGCTGTTTCTGGACTTGTGTACTGTGTTTGTTCAATATGGAAAAGTCTAGTTCCCTATGGGATATCCCTTGTGGGAGCCTGCCAGGGAGTAAGAACAGAATTGATGAGTTCTGGTGACTCAAATCTGGAAGCACAAAAAAACCACCAGGCCAAGAATTTGGCTAGTATAATGTGTAGTCTGAAATGCTTTTCTGAGCACCTTTTTTTTTTTGGAGGGGGGCGTAGTAGGCTGATTGGCAGATTTTAAAATTATTCTGATGACCAGGTCACAGTCAAAGAATATTACCAGGATCCCTGTAACATTGGGTGACATTACTTTGTGTGTGTGTGTGTTTGCCAGTGATATTTGGTCTGTGCTGCCAAGAAATTGTTCAGAGCCTTGACAAGAGAGTATGGTCTCAGGGCTGGAACTTTTATCATCTGAAATGCCACAGAGTGGGAATTGTGGAGAGTCAGCTGTGAAACAGATCTAGTTTTCTTGTGGCACCATTTCCTAGTGTTTTCTCTTGCCCTGAGGTTAATTTCGTTCTCTTCCCCTTTGTGTCTGGGGTCTTGCTTTAGCTTGCTGGCGATGGGGGAATTCCGTTGCTACTGAGTGGACATGCCACACTTTCCCCTAAAACTTGGCTCCTCCTGGGGCTCTGCAGAGTCCTCTGCCAGCCGGCCTGGGTTTTCAATCACATTGAAGCTAGCGGAGTTTCTCCTCCTGTCTTGTCTGCTACAGCATTTAGAATTCCCCGCAGAAGGCAAGCTGCAGAGACTTAGGCGCCTTTTTGAACTTGGCTAGTTATTCCTGAGATGGCTGTTTGTTTAAGTGACCCTGGGACGGATGGAGCCCTGAGGGGCAGGAGTGGTTTCTAGGAAGGAGGAAATACAAGTCTGCAAAGTGCTTTCTTGGTGGCTGTGAAGTCCAAAGGGGAGGGAGGTTGATTCCTTCACTGTTACTAGTATTTCTACATAGTGGGAAGCTCACCCGCAGGCATTGGAGGGCTCCTGAGGTGCCCTCCCATTCATTTTACTGTTTCCCACTAAAAAACAACCAGCAGAGTTCAGTGAGGTGCCTGTCACAGAGCCGTAGCCTCCACCAAGGCATTGTTCCCACATCAGGTGACCTGTGGCCTCTGTAGGTGTGATTGTAAAGGACCTGAAGCTGCTCCATGAAAAGGAGTAGCTTGGCCTTTTCACAGGCAACCCGCGAGGCCTTCTCTCAGAGTTGTTAAGTAGAGGTTAAAAAATAAGAGTGAGAGGGTGAGAACAGAGAAAGAAGAAAATAAGGTCTCCCAGTTGAGACTCAGATACTTTTTTCTAGAACTCGTTCCCACAGTTGGTCATAATAAAACCCTCTCACCTGGGAAGACATGTATGAATCCATACTGGAGACCCTTGTACTTATTTCAGGCCTGATCCTGACCCTTGTCTCCCTGAGCCCAGCTGTGGCCAAGAGGAGTATGAACTGAGGTGGTCAGAGGCGCTAAGGGTGTTTCAGGGGAAAAACAGCCCAGGCCACAGGATATAACACTCAACTAGGACAGAGAGCTCTGTGGACGTGCTGCCAAGTACCCGGTGTGCAGCTGAGGCGGCTGTTCCAGACCCCACTGTGTGGGCTGCCATTGGGAGAGGGCTGAGCGGAGCACTCAGCAGGGCTGGTTGGTGGGAAGATGCACTTTTCCATTTCCCAGCACATGAGTCATCTCTGGGCCCCTGTGCTGTGCTTGCACGGACAGTGGCAAGAAGGGGGTGTTGTGGCTGAGGAGCAGCATCTGTGTTGGGGGTGGAGAGGGAAGGGGGTTGGAGAGGGTAAAGATATAAATCCTTCACTAATCAGCAGCAGTTTGAATCACATTTTTATGAATAAGGAAGTGATAAATCAGCCCTCAGTGTTCAACCCCTAAGTCCAGTCAGCCGGTGCCCTTCTAAAGGTTTCTTTCAGGACAGTCTGCGCGTTGTCAGAGTCGCCACCCAGCCGCACGTCCCTGGGCCGTCTGAAATCAGGAAGCAAGTGCCTGACGCTGCCTGGCCCTCCCAGGTGCTTGGGGTCTGTGGTGATTTGGCAGCCACTGCGAGCTGTAGAACATCTGGGCCGTCATTTTTCTTTCAATTTCTTCTTGGACATGTCCTTCTGGGTGGGTGTTTGCTTATGTCAGTTCCTGGCCTCTGTGGAGAAGCATTCCAGCCTGGAGCAGAGGTGATCTTACAGCCTCCAAGGCAGTCTGGATCCTCTCAGTCAGTCCCTGGGCCTTCCCTGCGGATGTGGTACCAAAGGAGTATGAATTGGAGAGCAACAAAGAAGCCCTTCCAAAAATATATATCCTTTGCTTTTGTGCGCCTCTAACAGTACCGCGCGCGCGTGTGTGTGTGTGTGTGTGTGTGTGTGTGTGTGTGTATGTGTATGTGTTTCTACCCTGGTGTAATACTCTCTTTTCAAAATACCAGTACTTGATGTTGTTGTTAACGCTTTAGTGTGACTGCTTTTTAAACAAGCTTTCCTTGTGGTCAGGAGAGACAGACAGACCTGTTGAAAAGCTCAGTCCCCCTCAGAAGGCAAAATCGGAGGGAAAAGCTTAGCTCCTGGTGAGGAACAGTACTGTAGGTGAGGCCAGATTGCCTCTTTGCTGAGTGGCGAATAGTTGAGTTATACCACACCACTCTGCCACCAAAACTACAGATCATGGGTTTGGGGTTATTGTTGGGGAGACTTTAATCTCTTCCTGTCGTTAGCCATAGTGACAATCCTACTTCAGGGACACTGCAGAGATCTCATCTAGAATTCTACTGTTCTACCCTGAGGTGACTGGGGGCACATCAATATGAAGGATGAGACAAGAGATGTTTGGGGTACCCTAGCATAGTGCCCAGTATCTGTTAGGCACTCAGTAGTTTTTGAGCACAAGGGTGAGAGAAGCTTGCTCTCATTGTGCTGTGTGTGTTCCTTACCTGGCCAATGTCCAGGGCTGTCCTTTGGCGGGTAGTGGGTGGTGGCGAGATAGGTGGTTCCCAGAGTGATGTAATAATTGCTCATCTCTCTAAGGCATTCCCAGGCCTAAAGGGAGAAATGGGGCATACTCCACATGGCTCAGCCTTTAAGACTTCAGTAGCCATCCGATTGGCTGTCGTGATGCTGGAGGGTGAACTGTGGATCTAAACCACAAACACTCCAAGAATTTTAATTTTTTTTAAATTCTGTAATTTAAGGAAATAAAACTCTCATTTCTTGAAGAGGAATAAATTGAAGCAGCATTTGTGGTAGGGCATCACTGAAACCCCATTGCGTCCCCATCTGTGCCCAATTTACTTTAATCTGGCCTTGCTCTCTCTAGCTCTCTCTCCCTCTCATTTTCTCCCCCCCCCCCCTTTAAAATATGTTTTATAATTCCTGGAATCAAAACCATTTCAAGCACACAGTTTTATTTTACTGTATTATTGGATTATACTTCCTATAAATCATTGGATGTTATTCATTGGCCACCACTGGAATAACTTCCCTTTTCTGTGCCCTGGCCCCTGCTTTTTCCTCTTCCACCAGTTCATAGCCACAGTGGGCCTCCCTGTCAGTCCTGCAGAAAAGCCCCAGTGGCAGCAAGAGGGCACTCAAGACACACTGCTTGCCGGTGCCATTGGTGCTCCCTGCTCTCTGGGAACACGAGGGGCTGGGATCGAGGGGTGACTGGGACCAGACTGGCATTCCTCTCATTTTCTTTATGCTTGCTTTTATGGTCTGTTGGTAATCCTGAATTGCAGGAGGGTAGAGGGAGTGCCACATGTGCATCTCCAGGAGGAAAGAGAACCGCTGCTGTCTACATGAGAGGCATAGCGCTTAACCTAGAGGAATGGGATACGTGAGGGGCCGCACCTCATACCGTTGCCATGTACAGAAGTTGACCTGAGCAGTGTTTTTGTCTCTTTATATCCTATTTCAGTGGATGCTGTAGAGACAACCCTAGAGACCTGCAGAAAAGCATCTTGCTCCTTGACAATTTGCTTTTGTCTGAGTCTCTTCCCCACATAGAACATGTGAAGTGCCTAAGGCTTGAGTTTGGCTGTATAAGCTTCCCCCTCTCGGTCCTCCTCTTGTGTCTGTGGTGGTAGGGCCATTGGGCTTTTTCTTCATTAAGATCCATAGGTAGAGTTCTAAAGGTATCAGTGTTGCCTGATCTTTGTCCTCAGAGGTGCCCTGTTTGGAGTACATGTTACTACGAGAGAGGCTAGGCTGCGGAAGCAGGCCATAGGAGGAGACATCCTTAAGCTGTGCCCTTTAGCCCTATGGGGGAGATTTAACTATCAGGCTGCTAAGTGAACATTTCTTTTCTTCGGCAAGCTCTGCTTTGGGATGTAGTCAAAGTTTCCCGGACCGGAAAAAAAAAATTAGAGGAGTGAGTGTGTCAAAGGACATACTACTTTTTTCCTCAACACTGAGTTACAGGGGCTTTGTTTTTGGAATAAATCTGTTAACTTAAGGTTGGGCAAAGAGAAGCAGTTATGAACAGATAAATACGCAGTTACGAGGGCAAGTTAAAAAAAATATCGTTACCTTTATTAAACAGAAATAACGCCAGCTATTGTTTTCTTGGCATATCCTCCCCTTAAGTTTATATATTTCTTAGGGCAGTGTTTCTATCATCTCTAGCCCTACTGTGGAGAATTCTGC